TTTGGAGTTTTAATTATTATGATGGTATATTTTATTTCGTCACGATCTCCTCTTTCTATAGCCATATTTGTTGGGAATGTACAACGCCTAGAAGGGTTTCAAATTCGCCCCTCAATCTTTGTGGCATTGTATTTTGTAAATTCTGTTTTGTGATTGGTGGTCCTGAAAAGGACCGTTTTATATGTTGGTAATATACTAGGCTCCGTTACACATTTTTCTATACATGTTGTATCTATCTATTATATCAAACAAAAAATTGACATGAAAACCATTTCTAATTTCTAAAGATAATAATTGTTTTAAAATACCACTGGCTTCACAACGTGTGTTTTCTAAGTCTCATTACTCTTAATTATTTTTAGGTCATAGATTATTGATGTCCAATATTTTTTTCAAAGACTTGCAGGCATAATATCTGGCATACTATCACCGTAGCCATAAGTTCAGCTATATGACTGGTAGGTATGATCTAAGCATAAGAAACAGTATATTATGTAACGTTCTCTCTTCACGACCTAACCTACGGTGTGCGTTTTGTTTATATTACGAGGTCTTGGGGTCTCGACCTCGGCGTGTGTTATCATTACTAAAGATCAATATTTCTTTAAGTAAAACAAAGTAATCAATGTGTATACCTATAGGTGTATTGTATTAAATAATGTCTCTTGTAAAAACTTAATTGCAATGCTCTACCGAGGGAGAAGCCCTCCTACATTGGGAATCAAGATTCCCAAAGAAGATCACAAAATCCACGATATAAAAAATAATGAAAATCTAAAGATCCAAAACTGAAGATGAAAAATCTCAACATCCCTTACAAAAATCAATATTTAAAATTTTTGTTCAGAAATGTTTTGAGATAAAACTGCTTAGAAGCCTTATTTTGATAAGCTTCTTCAAAATAGTCCTAAAAATGAATTTTTAAAAAAGCTCCAAATTTAAAAGGGTCCAAAAACGAGATCCGGATTTAAGGGGGCTACGCTCAGAAATTAGCCAGGCATCCACTTGGATTACTGGTTGAGTAAGGGCAGGCGGTTAGAGCATTAATATTGTAGGAAATGTGATAATTTAATCTCTGCAACTCACTAACCGAAGCCAATGTCACCTTAGGTGTTGAAAGTATAGAAACCGTATGTGTAATTGTATGATTGCACTTTTGTTTTAGTATCTCATCTTTAATGTTTCATAGGCTACTTGATAATTTTTTCCAGTTGTTTTGAAATACGTGTCTACCGAACCAAAAATCTCACACCTTGCTACTGATTTTTAGTGTATACATCAATAATCAAGATCAAGAGACTATATTAGAAACTCAATTACTAAAATTAGAATTATACTGATTTGAGTATGACGACTCTGATTTAAATGTGGTACAAGTATACTCTTGAATGTTTTGTATTACCATTCAGACACAAATTTAATAGCAAATCTTTCATATAAACTATTTATTTAGGTATTTGGATGGATTCTAAGTCATTACTAGTTTAGTATATTGCTTTATTTAAGTAAATGTGCTAGAAATATTGATATGTAATCAAAATTAAATTTAAAAATAATAACTAAATAATTAAATGACAAATCTTTAATTTTAATCATAACTCAGGAATGTAAATAAATTATTTCAATTATTTCAATTATTATCTGATGTAAAATGTTACTTTATTTTAATTAATGTCCTACTTGATTACCTTGCTGAACTGCATTCATAAGTTATGCAATAAAATTGATCAAATTTTTGGGGTAGACCATAGACACTAGATTTTTTTATGGTATTTAAATATGTACAAAATTTCATAAATATAGGTAAAATGGTAATATTTTTAATTTTAGGAACTATAACAAATGATAATAATATGGACAATTTTTAATCTTTTTTTAAATAATATATATGCTAAATAATCTAAGAATAATCAATATATTATGTGCATTTATATATGCTCAAAAAGGTCAAATATACAAAAATATGCAAAATAAGTTAACATATTAGTAATCTAGAATTCATGAATCGAATTTATGTCATACTCGGGTATAATTTTGGTAGCGTGAAAAAAATGTGCCAAGTCATAAACATCCAAGTTCTAATAATGAACCTTGTGAAGTTTCACACCATTCAGACTTGATTTGTCCACGCTTGGTCCCAGTTTAGTAAATCAGCAGTTCAACAAATTAAACCAACTCTCAATTAATGCATAACATTCTTAACCTTTCACAAAAATCATAACATTTATTATTATTTCTATACATAAGTAATACAAACATATTATATATAACACTAATTTATAATCATAATAATTAAGGACAAATTAAAAAGTCAATCAAACTATCATGTTGACTCATGGGTATGTCATCACATATTTGTTCACTAAATGCTAATCCAATGGTTTTCAAATTATTAAATGGATATTTCTTTTTATATTCAATTATGCATCGATCATAATAACCTTTTCCTCGTCCTAATCGTTTTCCATCTATGGTGAAACCCAAGCCTGGCACTATAATCAAATCTAAACCACCTGAACACCAAATAGTAAATCTGTATTATTCAAAGAACATGATAGATAGTAAGTACCATTAATAAGGTACCTGTTGTTAATGCATCCTCATGCATATCATTATCGGCTGGTTGTGATATATTCCATTTGGTTTTAGGCAAACTATTAATTTCATCTAATGATTTTATCTCCACCATAAGCATTTCAAATTTGTTATACCTAAAAACCAAATTATTACTTAAAAAATGTATTAAAGATGTTTGAAAAAAACTATTAACACACTTTGGAATAAAACATGTTTTTTTTGAATGAAAAATGTTTTCAACAATATTATTTGTTTGGACTTCAGAATCCATACTGAGGTATATTGACACTCTGTTGCTTCTTGTGTACACTGGATGAGATAATACCTGAAAATGTGATATTCATTATTCTTCCTATTAATTAAAAATATATTTAATTAAAACAAGTAATTTATAAAAATATGAACAATTAATAATTGTAAAATAGTTAAGTATTAATGTATTATAGCGTATAATATATTTCATTAATTGCGATCTTTAGACTATTCAACTTTAAAATAAAGAGTTAAAATATAAATAATATAAAGTATAAATATATATCCTGTATATAATGCATATAATTAAATATTATTTAATAGGAAACCAATGAATCAAGTTATAATATATGATAAAAGTAATAAAATTAAATATGTTCCAAGATAGGTAACTTTAAAAACAACATTATAATATTAAAGTATTTAAAGCATGTTGATTTATAATTTATACAATTTACCTTGTTAGTTATGATTTTTGATTGTTCTTCGATTTCACTAGCAGTCATATGAGACAGTTTTTTTTTTAAGCTATTGCGTAAATTTGTTTTAGCAATGTTCACTAGCTCCATGATGCCCAGTAGTTGATTAAACTTCGAATTATGAATATAATTACTGGTTGTTCAACTAATGATAAAATGTTAAAATTTAAAAGAATACATACTTAATGTGAAAATATGAAATTAACAGTTAATTAATTTTAAATAAAGAAAAACTTAACATGTATCCACATAATATGATATGTAAAAATCCAGAATCCATATCTTACCTTCAGGCTTCGATGTAATTAGAGTACTTACCAGTATTAATAATCATAAACTAGACCATTACAACAGGTGGCTATGGCTTTTATGTCTGAAGAAAAAATGTCCATATCAGTATATCACTGCCGTAGTCCTATCATTTATCACTACCATGAATCATGATAGACTTCGTGAAGACTTTAACACAGAATTCTGTGACTATAATCTTACATTGTTACATCATTTACTACATGGCTAAATAATTAGCCATGATTTACTATGGATGGAGCCACAACGGCACAACGTATTATTTAATATTTTGAATAGTGTTGGGCAAAATATATCGATATTTTAAAATATCGATACTCCGTATCAATATATTGATATTTTTGTATCGATAATAAGTCAGTAATATTATCGTAGTATCAACTGATATTATTCCGATACAATACAAAAAATATCTAAATATAACTCGAAATATATAAAATCCCAATAGTCAATACTCAATAATATACACTAAATGCATTATATTATTATGGGTGATATTCATTTTTGGTCAACTGGTTATTGCCTAACTTTTGTTTTCACTGCGTTCAATTTAAGAAAAAATGAGTTCTGTAAAATACAAAACAGTTAAATCTATATTTAATATTTTAATTACATTGATATTTCAGAATAACCCTTCGAATCATCACTGGTGCTCCCTGGTATGTAACGAATGAATCTATTCATAACGACTTACAAATCGAAACAGTAAGTAAACTTTCAAAACGTCACTATAAATCCTTTTACATAAAACTGCCATCGAACATTAATCACCTAATTCAAAAAATGTCCTCAAATCTTATCCCTGACCAACCTCCACATAGACTGAAAAGAAATTGGAATCGTGACTTACTACTCTGAAAAAAAAAATAACAACAACATCAATAATTATACAATCTTCCTTGCTACACCTAGATATATAATATAATTGTCGCGGAAGTATTGCGAAAACAGTTCCCGCGGCGCCGTCGGTTTCAAACTGAAAAAAAAATATAATATAATATAAATTATAATAAAACCTAAATATTTGTGTGAGGGGTATTACCAGTGGGTGACTTCCCCTATCATGTGAATCATGCTATGTTCATTTCTAACAGTTATCATAATGACTTATTGTACAGATTATGTGTATAGATTGTCTTTTTCTTAATAATAAAAAAAAAAAAAAATTACATTGATAAATATAATTCTAAGTGTAAATATGCATGAAAAATGTAAAAACTAGTGGAAATACCACAAATTTAAAAACACATGTAATGCGGCATCACAAACAGATACTTTTGGACAATGTAGATGATCCTACAGCTTCAAGTATTGAAAATACTGCAGAAACAGATAAAGGTATAAATATTAAATTTATAGAAATAAAATACATATATTTATTCATGTTTCGTACAACAAAATAGTTTTTTTATACTGTATTTATTTTAGAAGCAACTATGTTAGCTTTAAATGAAAGACCTGAAACAAATTCACAAGATGAACCTCCTACTAAAAAAAGGAATATCCAAGTATCAATCGACCAAGCCTTTCATTCTGTTCAATCTTTTTCTGGTAAATATTTAATTAAAATGTTGATAAAACCATGTTCATATTTCAATGACTTATAAAAAACATTTTTAATATTATAGAAGGAGGAATAAAACATGCTAAATTAAGCAATACTTTGCTATTCATGATGGCCAAGAACGGTCTGCCATTAAGCATTACTGAAAAACAAGGTTTTAAAGAATATTGTAAAATCGCTACTCCACATTTTAAATTGCCTAGTAGGCATACAATATGTCGTATGCTAGACAATAAATATGAAATTATTGAGAATGCTTTCAAAAAAGTTTCAAGTTCTAGTGGCATATGTTACTTTAACAACCGATATGTGGACCGATACTATGAATAGTAAAAGTTACCTTGGAGTAACAGTTCATTTCATAAATAATAAAGAAATAATGTCTGGAATGTTGGATGTTTATCCTTTATCAGAAAGACATATGCGGCTGATTGTCTCGCAGAAATATTGTTGGAAGTTCAAAATAAACGGAACATAACCAGCTCAAATGTAGTATGTAAGTATGTTTAGTCTCTGATGGAGCACCAAACATTGTTAAAGCCATTAATGACACTTACAGTGATCATAAACACTTATATTGCTTTGCCCACATGTTAAATCTTATACACCAAAAGGCTATTTCAAACATACCAACTTTGGTTTCACTTCTGACAAAAATAAAACAAATTGTCACATTTTTAAAGCACAGTGTTGTAGCTTCTGACAAATTAACTTCTTTACAACTCCAAGATGGGACAAATAAAGAATCTATATTGAAACTAAAACAAGAAGTTCCGACAAGATGGAACTCTACTTTTTATATGCTAGAAAGATTTAAATTATTGGCTATATCAATGGTTTTGTTTGAAATTCCTAATTCACCATCAATGATAAATGTAACAGAACTTAACGACTTAAAAGACATAATATATCTACTTAAACCTCTAGAATTGGTCACTAAAGACATTTCAGGACAAAACTACATAACAACAAGCAAAGTCATCCCACTAGTACATACTATAATGTACAAAGTAGAAAACCTGGATGCTAAAAGTGATGTTGGTAAAGCTTTAAGAAAAGAGTTAATAACACAAAAAAATAAATATTTTGAAAAAATTGAACATTCACATATAGTTGATATTGCTTGATCCCAGATTTAAGAAAGCTCACTTCAAAATACCTATAGCCAATTCCAATGTAATCCAGTATGTAAATAAAGAACTGAAAAAAATAATTGACTCTGATAAACAAACTACTCAACATTTAAGGTAATGTAATAATAATATATATTTTTTAATGTTTATAATTGTCATTTTTTATTATAACAATTACAATTTTTATTTTAGGCCAGATCCTAGTTTAATAACCGAAAGGAATGAAGACGATGGGAATGATTTATGGAGTTATCACAAACAGGTTACCTCAAATCACTCAAATGGTATTGCAAGTTCTAATTCTGACATGGAGCCAGAACTTAGGCAATATCTTGATTTACCTTTGGTCAAAATTGATGAAAACGTACTAGAAGTTTGGGAGACTTATAAATCAGTGTTTCCCAATCTATTTAAATTGGCTCAAAAGTACTTTTCTTCTGTTGCATCATCGGTTCCATCAGAGCGATTGTTTTCAAAAGCTGGTAATATACTCACGGAAAAACGTAATCGAATTTCTGAAAAGCGCCTTTCTAAACTTTGTCTTTTACAAACGATTGCAGATGAATACTGGGACATTTAATACAAAAATAATGTTTTGAAATCAAATTGTCTTATTTTGTTCTAAATTTATTAATATTATATTATTTGTATTTCATATTAAACCATCATTCAATGAATTTGATATTATGACATTATTTCTGTTTTCTGTAATTATTCAAAGGGTTCATACAAAAATATTGTACTATAAAGTTTAAATTATGAATATGATGTACAGTCAGTGGACACGTCATAACAATATCAAAAATATCGATATTTTATTAATAATATTTTGTTATATCGATAATTCAATAAAATATAGTATCGATATTCTCAAGAATTTGCCCATCACTAATTTTGAACTTTGAAGCCGATTGCCGATATTAGCGAAATAGCGACGAGTCTCCGATTCAGGTGTTCAAGATGCGCATGCGCAATTTATTTCGTTGCATAATTGTTATCATTGGGCCGTACTCAAGGTCAAAATATAATAGTATAACATGTGGATAAATAAGCGACGAATTATATCGCGCATGGGCATATCGAATCCCTAATTCGGTGACTCGTCGCTAATATCGGCTTCATTCTTTTGTATTGGTATAACAACGCTGTGGCTCCATCCATAATATATGATCTAAGACTATAATAATTAATATTATTAATAAGGCAATCAAACTCCGCTTCTGTCGCTTCTGATAACGTCCAGAAATGAGTCGCAGAATTAAACGGCCGCAGGTGGCGCTGCGTATGCCAAGGTTGTTGCTTTAATCGGCGTATATTTTTTCTGTATCAAATAATAAATTATAGGCAAAAATACATAGATAATATATAATATATTAACTGTGCAAAAATATAAAAGATGTCCAAAACAAAATAAAAATCTTCAAATAAAAATAAAGTCACTTAAAAGAAAAAATACTAGACTGAGAAAGTGAGAAAAAAGCTATTTGTCTAAATTAATCTATATTGTGATACAATATATTTTTGTATGATAAATTAAATTTTTAAACATTTAAAATTGTTTACAATATATACTTATACAATATACTTATATAAACATTTGGTGAAAATTTAATGTATCAATGGTGATTTGTTTTAAAGTTACATCAAAAATCAAAATCGATTTTGTCGAAAACTGATTGTGCGTAAAATTTACTTTTGACCTAGCCTAACCTAACCTGCTTACCTGCGCCAAGGATATTCACTTTTACATCGGAAACCACCCCCAAAGTTTGAAATTGAAGCATTATTTCGACTTGTTATGCTGTACACAGACACAAAAAAAAACACACATCATTGTAAAATCAATACATTCATCACTTCGTTCAGAATCTAAAATATATTATAATATATTTAATATTTATGAACGTACAAATTTGGTGGCCCTGAAAAAATCGTTTTAAATGGTTTGTTTTTAAAAGAACCGTTTATATTTACTGCCGACGTATACGATTTCTGAAAATAAAACATGATTTTTTTTTTAATATGGCGTATTATGAATGATACGATCAAAACTTTGGTCATTTTTTAAATAATTAGTGTTATGGTACTTTAAGTACTTACTCTGCATTTTAGCACTCGGGGCATTGGCAATTTTCTATATCCCTGGTCATAATACTTATTAAATCCGATACCAGGATTTATACCACAAATTGGTCCTATACACTACCACATCTTTCCAGGATATTTCTACGATATAACCATTCAAAAATGTATTACGTATCAGCTACTGAATCAGAGTTACATCTTGTTAATATATACGTTTTAACTTTCTCCAAGTTCGTTTAATGTGAATGTGTTGAGTGCGAATCTGAGCAAAATTTTTAGAATGATTTACAACACTATGATCACTAAAACATAAGTTTTCGTTTTTACAGTATTTTATATATAGATAAACAAGGATTTTAGGTTTATAAACGACATTTTGTATGCTTAAAAGTTTGTAATAACAGCAAAAAAATCTTAAATAATTACCTAAATTCAATTGATGGAAGATCCATTTGCAATCAACAGGTTTGAAAATTAATTATAATAGATAAAAATACTGTATTATTTGGTCGTATGATTATGGAATAGTTATAAGCACTATAATAGCGTTTTCGATTTGACGCACTTTTTGCACTCAGTGCGCACTGAGTGCAAAAACGTATTCGATTTGACCAAAATTCTGTGAACTGGTGGAGTGTTTTGTATTCGATTTGATTGCAGTGCAACACTCGTGTGCACTCAGTGCGCACTTTCTGCACCGCCGATTTTGTGAGTGTTTTTATTACTATGAACTTAACTTCTCTATTGAGGGGTCAAAATATTATATTTTTTTCCCCCGGTAATTTGTTTTAAAATTGTTATTATTATTTGATTATTTTTGTTTTAATTATTATTATTTACGACAAGTTTATTAATTAAAATTAATTTAAGTTATTAATTAATTAAATTCTATTAATTAGAAAATTTCATAAATTATAAATACATAATATTATGGATAGTATACAAATAATTATTATTTAATAATAACATTGATGGAATCGGGTATTCTATCATCCTCTTCATCTTCGGACTCATCTGATGACGAAGAACTATATTCAGTGATTTGTAATGGAATACATCATGTAAAGCCCAAAGTTAAGGACTTTGTGGTAAATGTTGTACATAGTTTTACCGATGACGAGGTATGTTTAACAATTCATAATTTAATAAGTATTAAATAGAGATTCTTATTCAATTGCAGTGAATCTTCTTTTTTTGTAGTGTTCAATAGGGTAGTTGAATTCCTACTGAATATTTTGCCTAGTATAATTAAAATGCCTACTTCAGATTATGGCAAAATACAATGTGCCTACGAGTTTCAGCAAGTAATACTTAAATAAAACTCACTATATAATAAAAACTTTAAAAAAATAAATAAGATTGCTTAGAAATTAATTTGAAACTTTTTTTTTTAAATGTTAGATTGCAGGTATACCTACTATACCTGATGTACTTGGTGCTATGGATGGTTCGTATATAAGCATTAGAAAACCAAAGCACAAAATTCGATCCACATATGTTAACCGACATCATGACTGCTCTTTAACTTTGCAAGGTATTTGCAATGCAAAGAAAAAATTTGTTGATGTTTTTACTGGAACGCCCGGTAAAATGCATGATGCCCGCATACTTCAACACTCTTTTGTATATAAAGACGCATATTTACAACAAGTATGTGGATCAAAGTACCACATTTTAGGTGATGCAGCTTATCCGTTAGAAGAAAATATTATAACTCCTTTCAAGGATTATGGAAATCTTACAAACAATGAGAAATTATTCAATAAAAATCATRCCAAGACAAGAGTTRTAATTGAGAATACTTTTGGCTTATTAAAAGGACGTTTCCGCCAATTGTTAAAATTAGATTTTTCATTAGCTGAAAAAGATTCAAATTTTATACTAGCTTGTTGTGTGCTACATAATTTGTGTACAGATGATGATGATCTCGTTCCTGAGCAACCACCTGTWGAAGTAGAAGAATTACCAGAAAATGTAACTCTTAACATTCACCCAGGAACTCTCCAATCTCGAGAAAAAGGATTTCAAAAACGAAAAATATTATGTTCTTTGTAGACTTTGATAATTTTAATTTTTAGAAATATATTAATACATTTTTTATGACAGAAATCTATTTGTTATCCAAAATTTTTTTAAGAATATCCATTTTTTCTTCATGACGTTTTTGACGTTCCAGTTCTCTCTTTTGTCTGCCTTCTTCTTTTTCTTTATGCATGGTAATCAGCATTCAGCAGATCATTCAGAGAAGTCTTGGCCTTCTTTGTAGCTTGTGGCTCAACATCTTTAGTTATCTTATCATCTTTTAAAATTCTTTTCAGTCCAGAACTAGATGTTCCTAATAATGTAAAATRTAATGTGTTTATTAAACAAGGTTACACAGCAAAAYTTGTTTTAGTGTGAGAAATGAATGTATTGAATAATAAATTAATTTAGAATTGTGCAATAGCTCAATTTAGTTAGATTAATTACACAAAATGAAAAATACACAGTCATCAGTGTCSGGGATGGGCTGTTGGATTCAGTGATCATGTACCTAAATATTGCATACAAAAATATGTACAATACCATACCTACGTCTATACCTAAATATATATTTTTATATTATATAATAATGATGGAGGTTTGACTTTTTACTTTTAAAAGTTTACTTAAATATTATTATTCTTATATAGCTTATGGTTTTATCATTAAAGTGGAAACTATAATACAAATATAATTTTGGGTTTTGTAATTYCGTTTCTGTGTAATTAAAGATATAATAGATTATTAATAGTAAAATAAATTACTTAATAGCAGTAACATCATCATGTGTTAATAGCACATGCTGTCATGCTGATATATAGAAACCATATTCACTCAAAATTGTAATTTGTTGCTAAAATRATACTAACCTACACAAACAGATGGTTCAATAGAATCATCCAATGCTGTTATCTTACTAAATTCTTCATCAACGCTACTGAACTTGGGAGATGATCCAGAAGTATTGTTGTTTTTCATATATGCTTTGTTTCTTTTTAAAACAGTTTTATATCTATTTTCAATTTGAGCTTCTGTAAATACACAACCTATTTGTTCTACCATATCTTGTTTGATTCTTATCCACATTGCCTTTTTGTTTCGGAATTTTTTCATAGGGCCTATTTGTTCCATATACTTATGGAAACAGTTTAACATAAATGATGTATTTCCATCTGTCCAAAAGGTAGTATTTGTGGGACTTTTATTGTCAACTGTTAACACAATATTAGTGTATTAAAATCACACATATGATTCTGTGAAACAGCTGCTACTTAAGTATTAAAACATAAAATTATGAAAGTATAAATATTAAAAAAATAAATGATTTTTGYATTTAAATAAAAACATAGGTACAAAACTGTAGTGTATTTGTGTCTCTATTAAAATACAATTTTTATTTGTATATTGGAAGATATTAATACAGTAATTCAGACACATTTTGAGTTAAATTTGTAAACAAATTTTATTARCATTTGTACTTTTAAAARTATAAATATAAATATCAAATCTACCGTTTGTTAATATTATTTATCGACTACAATCTACAAGATGATAACTTATAGTATAGTAAACACTATTACAATGTAATATTTAAACAATCAATTTAGGACACTGCTTTYTAGAACTACATTAATTAATTATTAAAAGAAGCATGCAAAATTGAATGAATAGCCACAGWAGAAACATATATAAATTATACATATTTAGTTAACCTGACAATGAAACTGAATTTTGTGTAAGCAACTTTTCATTTTCTGTTTTATTCATAAACAGTTTATCACTTTCTATGATTTCTTCTGACCTATTAAGTATTATGTATAGAAGCAAGCACATATTGGAAGAAACATATTKTAAGTAATTAATATTATTAAGATTATAATTCGATATTACCTTTGAATATTTATATATTCCTCTTGGTTGCATGTATGAATTGAAGTGTTGGAATACACATCAAAACATTTATTACAAATCTGCAGTATGAATAAAAATAGTATTGATAATTAAATTAAAAACCAATTTTTAAAGTAGGTACTCACGTMAAATGTTTCAKTATCGGAATCAGACATTTTACATTTTTAAACTTCTAGGTACGAGGTACGACTATGCCACTATGGAAAATTTATTAAGTAAAGRCAAACGGAAACGACAATTATTATCACGTACAATTATTATAATTAATTTATTAATGAGAAATAAAATAATCGAATGTGTGTGACATAATACGTCCTACCTAMAGGCTACAACTTTGTTTCGAACAAATTGGCGGTAAAATATTATTTATCATGGTTAAAAATGGTTATGACATGTATTTCATCCATGATGATTTATCCATCCATGATTAAACATGTAATCATATCTTTTCGTATTTGATTTGAATGAATGAGTGCATAGTGYACCGTGCACTAGTGTAGTGTCAGTTCAATTTCAGTGCACACTTTTATTGTCAAATCGAAAACGCTATAAAATACACTGAACACCGTAGATTTAGGAGTTAGGACCAGTTGTACCGTCTCTGATTAAAGTTAACCGGAGTTTAATCGGCCGAATTTGCACGGTTTAAATATCTGTTATCGGCTGATTAAGCGTAATCGAAGTTTAACCGTAGACGGTACAACTGGCCTTACAGCAACAAAACATTATCATTTTATTTCATCAGTATTTAAGTATTATTATATGTATACATATATCTTAAACCGGATTAATAGGAATGTGTAGTAATTAAACCATAGACCATAGACCTATTATAATAAATCTATGCACAAAATTAATACATTTTTCATGGAAGGACTCTTGGAAATCTTAACAGATAAGCTGATACCTACCACTTGTTGTCCATGTATTGGCGGCAGATTGATAGTACCGCTAGGGCAATATAGAACTATGTACATTCAGGGGTGTCATTTCAGGTTTTTTTTCGGGTGTGCGAAGTTTCAAGCAGGCCATTTTGAAATTTCGCCAGGCCATATAAAAATAGATATACATACGTATATGTATATTATCCTGCATTCAATTATTTCCATACATTATAGACCGGTTATTACAATTTGATTTTAATCATATAAATAATTGTGCATTCGTGGCTCGTGCATTATTTTAGGCTTCAGCAAGGCACAGGCCAATTGTAACATTCTAAAAGTAAGGGGTGCAACCGCACACCCTGCCACCCCCCAAATGATGCCCCTGTGTACATTTATTTTATAGTGCCGGAGCACATGGGCCAGTTTTTTTCTATGTAAATCACAGAAAAGATTTTCTTTGTACCTAATAACATAATGTAATATGAGGTTAAAATTTAGGTGTATGAGATGAACATTTTTATATATATATAAAAATTATTTTTTTAACTTATACTTATTTATTGTTTTTGACTTTTTGTCAAGTAGGTATTGGGATTGAGAATTCCTTGAAAATTTTTTGGAATAATTGCCAATTTTCTTGAAATAGGAATGATTCTTTCTAACTTTTTTACTGCGTCTTCATTTATAACTTTATAAGTAAATGTATAATATATTTAAATTTATCATATTTAATGCATTTGAATTGATATGTAAAGCACAGGTGACAAACATTGTAGTTTTGAGTTAATTCTGTCACTCCTATCAATTTGCAGGCTCAATTTTTTTTTTCGTCGCTTTTAAACTGTTACTTATATAGTTATATTATACGAGGTACATTAAATTACAGGTGTTTAGTTATATAATATAGTATATAGTATATACATTAGATAGATACTTTAACATGTTATATAGCTTTATGTAGTATTGTCTATTATATTATTATTTTTCGATTGGCTCAAATTGTGAAGATAAAAATATCAACAATTCATCACATTTTTACATCTCCCACGTTACATTTATACYCAAATTAAAAAAATTGTCTAAAATCTAACTTAAAATCCTCATAATAAATTAGATAGATATATTAAAAATCAAACGATTTACAAATTTTTACAAACATTTGAAAAAGCGTGTAAGAAGACTCTTTTCTGCAAAAAAAAAAAAACATTTTTGAAAAAAGGCTAGCCCCGTAAAGTAATTTTGTATCAAAATTATTGTTGATTTATGATTTATGATCAACTAACTTTCTTTAAATTTTCAATCATAACAACTAATGAGGTATTTTTTATTCAATTTTCAAGTTTTTCGACTGAGTGCAAATTGTTTTTTATCAATAATTTAAAAAAAGTAAAAAATTCGAAATTTTTTTCCCTATAAATAGCTCAAAAAAGTTAAAGTATCATGAAAATTATGAGGTGTATGGAAAATCTAAACATTCGTTGAAATTTTAGGGATTTATATATAATATATATACTAGCAGTGCTTCAGGGATCTGCCAACTGCCAATCTTAATAAGTAATGTAAATTTATAAATATTATTTTAATTAATATATTATGAGATATTTATGTTTATTTTATGTGGTTAATTTGTGAGTTTGACGGTAAAATTACGAAAGGTTTGGGGTTTAAACAATTTTATTCGCTCGCTAACTAAGTTTCTCACTTAAAACTAATTACCTATTTGGATATTCGTTTTCAGGCATTGTTATAATGGCTTATACATTTATAATTATAAATAATAATGTGTTTTTATGTTTCTTACCCTAAAATAAAATGTACATTCTATATTATTGTTTTTCAAATTTAATTTTAAATATGCATTCCACAAWTAATATAAAATGGCTAATGATATTTTAAGAATTATAATGGTATAGATATTGGCAATATTTGTTATTCAATTCTTATCATCGTTATCATAATACGTTCTGATACCGCACACATCCCTCTACCACCACYACGATTAAAGATAGATCTTTAATCCTGACCRCCACCAACCCTATGAATAAATTGTTATCATTTACTGGCAACTGGCGAAGTGGCGTATGTTTATATCTTTCCTTTATTTTCTATTCTATTATTTGCAAAAATGTACCTAACCGTGTGCTTGGTGGCTCAACATTTTTTATAATGAAACAAATTCACACGTCGATCATCCATGTAATGTTCTATTCATAACTTGTTCGTTTGTCGTGATCGATGTCGATCCTATGCCATTACCAAATTCAATTTAAGTATTTCGATTTGTGGATTTGATCTACACTTTTCACGACAATGGATTATCCGGTTCATAAAGGTAAACAATCTTACAAAATTCTACTAGTTTATTCCTCAATCATTCATGTTATATTTATTAGTTTGACAAAGAAAACTATGTTTTTAAATTTAAATTGTGATYATAAGAATAATAAAATTATGGTCATAAATTAGATTAAATTTAGGTTAACCATATTTTAATTATTGCAGAAGTTATAAGTACTACTTGATTAGTTCTATTGATTTTAAATGTATATCTAAATAATAATAAATAAACAATTTTAAAACTTTAGACTGTATTTTCTATAAATATTATTTTGAAGTTATTAATTTATTATTCTTTAAACATAGGTAGTTACCTATCTCGAACGAGACAAAGTATCTAGGTATAATTTTAGATAAACGTTTAACTTGGAAACCCCATCTCCAAAACAAAAGGAAACTTGCCAACAGTAGACTCCATCTCTTCCGACCTCTTCTTAAATCTAAACTTAATCTAAAAACCAAAATGTTATTGTATAA